AATGACTGAAATTAATTTGATGCCATTTGGAATTTAATTAACTATACTGTGCGTACTTAGAAAACAGTTGTTTTTACAGGTTTTTCGTTAATGGAATTTGTAGAATACAAGGAACTGTTTTTTACACGTTGTAATTACATAACTAGTTAAACCCCAGTTTTTATTATTTGTCAATATAAAATTCAACTTCCGTCGAATACAAAGAGGGATCAAAACGGAATAGGAATGGGTGGGTGGGTGGGCCACTTTTGACTTTGTTTTAAACCTTAGATTCTACCGCTTGTCAAATTAGAATTCAATTCCCATTTACGGGATCTTATAAGCAAATAGTTGCCCCGCCCACCTGCCCCCTCTTCACTCCAATGACTATTCTTAATGTTGTTCAGTCCTATCTTAGCAAATACTAGTCCCGCCCACCCGCCCTCTGTTTTCTTACAAGGTACGTCGTTTGCCAAAGTCAGTCTTATCTTAGCAAGTAGTAGCCCCGCCCACCTGCGCTTTTCTCATTCTAACGACTGATTTTGTTTCTGTTCAGTATAAGATCCATCTTTCATTCAGACTAGATAAAATCAATCACTAAAATGAGTAGAGTGGGTGGGTGGGACTAATTATATGTTCTTCTGTAGAGTGGGAATGGAAACTAATATATCCAACATTGTAAAAAGAAGAAAAAAAAACCGCTGATACTAATTCTTTTGTTGTACTATATAATATTATATGCTATAAGATTTATTTCTTGTTTCGGAAGAAAAAATGAGAGGAAGGGTGGGTGGGCGGGGCTTATATTAACATTTTCCTAGAGACTTTTTAAATAAGCAATATTATACAAGCAAAATTTTCCCCTTTTTTAAAACTTTGCAGTATCCTGTTAAATTTTGACAAGTGTTTTTTGTGTCATTCTTTGTCACATTATTTTATAACCTAAAATTTTTCGTCATTCAGTATGATCAAAGTTATCTCGAATTTGTGTATGTTAGGTTGCATAATTTTTGCCGTTCCTTTAAAAAATTAACCAGAATAATAATAATATTAGTGTTGTAGATATGCCTCACAATTTCTCCAAAAAAATTAAGGCCATCTTGAGTTTTATTCAGTTTAACGAACAATAATAGATTTAATGAAAATGTTAAAATGTTGAAAACAAAATTCAGAACTATGTTTACCAAAACTTATTTTATTTTTTATTTACTGTAAACTGGGAAGTCGCTTCTGTTTTAAGAAGCGGTAGAATCTAAGATTTAAAGTCAAAACTGGCCCCGCCCACCCACCCCTATTTCGTTTTGATCAGTCATTTTATTGGCTTTAAGACAGAAGTTGATTTTTATATTGACAAATAATAAAATCTAGGGTTACATAATTTTACAAAATTTTAATTTTTTTCGAAAAACGGGGTTGACGTCCGCGTTTACACCTAAATAATAAACAAATAAATTGTGTAAAGCAGACACAATGAGAAACAATTGTCAAGGCCGCCCCTCTTCTAGCAATGAAATGGTTTATTAAGGTGGAGCTTTCGCAAGTGGGAGGAGCATCCCTAATTTTGCTTTTTAACTATGATTCTCACATCGGTGCGCTCATTTAACACCAGTTTAATACTTTCTCAATACTTTGTTTAACAATTTATCTGTATTCTCACCAACGGTTTAACGAATTTGACTAAGATTCTAAGAAGACAATAAGGTTGTCATTAATTAACAATAGTAAGAGTAGTCACGAGAATGAAGAGGGGGTGGGTGGGTGGGGCTATTGCTTGCTTATAAAAGACTCCATGGCAAAAAGTTACAGTTAGCCCCGCCCACCCACCCGTACTCACATTTTGTTTTTATCTGAAATAAGAAATTAATCTTATAGTAAATAGTGTAACAAAAAAATACGACTTTTTTCAGACTAAGTTCTATTAGTTCCCATTCTCACTCTACAGAAGAACATATAATTAACAATAGTTAACACAAAATACTAATATAAAAACAAATTACAAAAAAACAAAGGTGATTCTCAGAAAGCGTAATTTTTTTAAATTTGTTTATAGTTCAGGTTCTGAAATACATAGTGAATATTGACAAAATTTCTCTAATAAGTTTATTTCCACAGTTAGAATTTTAGTTTTCTTTAGATTTTTATAAAAATCACATGGCCCACGTTCACTAACTCAAAACCATAACCCACTACTTAGGGTATATATATATATATAGATAGCTATAGGTATAAATATACCTTTCTCCAACTAGATTATCCAGGTATATAGTAATACCTAGTACCCGAGCAACCGCCCCCACAGAAGGCGCCAACTCATATAAAAATCGGATTTCGTCGCAGTACGGCCTCCTGGACGCCTTGCCCAAACTGGTGTGAACCGGAAATCTAGCCCTTAAATTAACCCTATTACAGTGCAAAGACGCCCTTTCGTAATGCAATCTACCTCTCTTACCGCAGGTACCAAAAAGCACAAATTCCGCAGTCGCTCTCAAATAACTTAGCCATCATTAGCCATCAAAATTATAAATTTATTATTTTCCACGGCCCCGGAAATTCACATCGCAGTCATTTCTTTATACCAATATCTTTCCAGAATTCATCTGATGCACACATTCTATCATGTATGACCAATCAGAGTACTTTAGAGCCAAATAAAATCTCAGCCAGACCAGCATTTAAAGTTGTCTAGTCCATTTTTTTCCGACTTGGCTCGTTCTCACGGTCATAACCATAACTTATGTGAAGCAAGATATATCCGCTACCAGACAGAAACCGCTCCAAGAACCTCCACCAGTCCACCACCGTCACGTAGCAAAAGAACTCCTCCAGATGGCTCCTATCGTGAAATTATCAGTGATCCAATTAATAATGCGTGTGCAGCATATTTTACCCTCGTCTTCATTGAGCGATCAAATGTACAAAACCGCTAAATATGGAACTACAACGACGGATCCACAAACCACGCGACCGAGTTCTCTTTTTTTCGATTGTATTTAGGGCCTCCGTGCCGTGCTAAGAGAGCCTGCCCTTTAGGGCACTGTCAACTTTTTATCTCATCCACGCGCTCCATTCAGCGATGGGGAATTTCTCTACCATTAAGGTATGCGTTTTCTAACCGTGTTGCCTTATTACAGTTTTTGGCCCGGTAAAAAAGGTCAGGTCAGGTTAACAACAAATTTGAAGACCTTTTAGTCTTGTAACGAAGCAAATTTTCGCGGGCCGGAAACCGGGAGGCGTACCGAGAGTACATGAGAGAGGAAGCGCGCTCCCAAGTCCAGGAGAAGCCCGTCCTGAAAGAAGTTGCCATCCAGGAGGGAACGACCGTGCCGCACGTTTTATTCTTTTTATTTTGTAAAGTTTCTTTTGTAGTTATTTAAGATTATTTTAGCCATATAGCTGGTGGCAGGGAATAAACCCTATTATTGTTAATTTTCCTCGGTTTTATTTTATTTCTTGTTTCAGTGGGCGCTCCCCAGACCACCTGGATTTCCACGTCTCCGGCTTTAGAGCAACCCCGGTGTTCCTTCACCGGAGAGGGAGCTGGCACCCGAGCACCGTCGCTCCCAACCGAAGGCGCCACTCCCGATGGCGTGAAGGTGTCCGACCAGACGTGTTTCTCTTTCAGCGGCACTAGTCGGCTCAAGGCTTGGCACCGATGCACGCCGCCCCCACGCATTATTAGCGAAATTCCGGACCGTCACCGTCCGACCCCCGGAATTTCGTTGCAGTCCAACACTAACGAGTTTAAGCTAAATGGATATCGATTTTATAAAGCGTAATTATTCACCTCTTTTTGTAAAAATAGTAGCTAAAAATGGGCAATTGCTTTCTTAAAAACCTAGAACTTGATCTTACGGTAAACAAAAGGGTGATAGAACATTGAAATTTAACGGATTTGAGGTGGATAAAATGCTACTAATGATAAAGAATTCTAAACAACTATCCAACTCAAAATATACTAGCGCAGGAAAAATACCCGACTTTAAGAAATGTGACTTCCGTGGAACGAAATAAATTATGGACAATAATTGTTGTTTTTCTTCAGGTTTTGACTAATATTTAGAATTAAAGTAATACAACTACTGGAACGTATTTATACTTAGGAAACTAACACCCATTAAAGAACAGCAATATTTTATTTTACTTAATGGCGAAATCCAATGAAAGCACGTAGAAATATAACACTCGTTAAAACTTTCAATTTACGAGCATACAGGTAATGGTTTTTAGTTTCATTTGATGGAAAATGTAAAATTTGTGTATTTTTAGAACAAGTCGATAATTTAATTCCATCAAACCCAATCGTATTAGGCAGGTAAGCTTCCCGGCATATTTCATTTTGAATATTAAAAGACACGTATTACACCATACTAATGCTCCGTTGTATAAATGGAAAGATACTTGATTATAGATAAAAAAGATAAATAGAACACAATTACAACAAAGTTAGTTTGCTTGTGGATATATAATTACACAAAACTAGTATACAGCAATCATATAGTTGAAAAAACTTGTCCGCGAGGGTTTGACCCAAATGATTACCTGGAAATATAACAACAAACTAATGTTGTTTTTCGAACCGTTAATTGAAACTACGTTAAACACGTGCCAAATTCCCTCGTTTTTTATCAAGCGCACTCTAACTGGTCGCTCGAAAACAAACTTATCTTTGTACAGAGACATTTTTGGACACTTTCCCAACCCCGATTAAATCCTGCCACTACATCACACTCCTAACCGTCCCCTAATTGTCGCCAAATAAATTAAATTATCTCAAACCCAAACTTCCACATTTAACGTTACCAACTACTACAAGCGCCGACCCTCTCCCGACCCTATCACTATCATCTGTCAAACGCCACCCACCTGCAACCGTCAACGTCGCATTCTTGCTCCTGGCCGTCCCCAGGGCATCGCTGGCTTCGCACCAGTGCACACCCAACTCCTTCAAGAAAAGAAACTTCCCGGGGGCAGAAACACCCAATGTGACGTTGACGGTTCAACTCTACCTCCTACACCCTCACCTGCAACCGTCAACGTAGCGTTCCTGCTGCGAGCCTTCCCCAGCGCGTTGGTCGCCTCGCACCAGTACACCCCCGTGTCCGACTCCTTCCTACTCTGCACCATCCGCAAAAAGAACAGGTTTCCTGCTGGCAGCAGCATGCGGTGCGACCTGGCGTCCTGCGGGTGGGTGCGCACCGGAGCGCCGTCCTTGAACCACGTGATGGTGGGCTCCGGCTCCCCGGAGGCGTGGCAGTTGAGGGTGGCGGGCTCGTGGCGAGCCACGATCGTGTCGACGGGATGCTCGGTGATGCGGGGCGGTTTCTGGCTGACGTGGTGGTAGCCTGGAAGAAAAGGGTGATTAAGTTTGTTAGTTGGTAATGATGGGATTACTCTAAGTACGTCATAACGACGTTAAGCTTCTAAGATCAGCTAACTAATCGGCTGCTGGACCTGATAGCCGGTGATATTTCAGACGCGGGAGGGTCGGCCGCTGAAGGATTAGGGAGGACTCTATTTCCTCAGCTTACGGAATCTAATCTGGACGGCGACAATTCACGCGGATAAGCTTTCATTACAAAAAAAGGTGGCGGAGGTTTCGGTGGGATTGGAGGTGAAGTTTTAATGGACAGAGGAGATGGTATCGGGGGTGTGGAGGACGGGGGAATCGAGGTGGTGGCTAATCGATACGCCGGTAAATTCAGCGGTCTGTTATTACTATTATTTAAACTTATTTATTAGAACAAGGTTATGATAAAGTAATGCACAAATGTCTTAAAAAGCGCAACATTTCTTTTGAAAAATATGCAAAAACATATCAAGCCTTTCAATTTATTCTCCATCTTTTCTCTGTCAAAGAAAATCAGAACATCCTGTTAGATTGTGATAAGTTAAGGAAATATAGTGCTTGAGTCCATCGGACTTTTGTATTTTTTGTCTTGCATTGGTAATGGCGTGTTACTAGTATACTAGTATTATCTATGACAATCACGTCATCACAGAATTATTTAATCATCAAATTAAGAATGAGTCCCCCTATTCTCTTGAAAATAGAGACTGCGCCCGGCGATATTTAATAATGATAAAATAATAATTGAAATTTGCGTTCCCGTGGCGCAGGGATGGGGGGGTGCTATTGACGCCGGTTCATCCGTTCACCGAAAAAATCGAGGAATTTTTTAGAACACAACTTCTTGAACCCCTATATCTTTTTCCAATTGTTTTGTACAACTGGTTCTCAAGAAATTTAGCCATTTGCATGCATTCTAGAAACCCTGTATAAAGGTTACTTGAAAAACAATCATTTTTTGTATTTTTGGAAAGGAGCAGAATTCGTTGGACTGTACTTCAAGGGCCGCGGAAGAAACCTTTTTTTTTACATTTATGAAAGTTTGTGGCGTTTTTTCGTTTCGTTTATGAGGAAGAATTCGATTATGGTAATCCCATGTGACAGTAAAATTTGTTAAGTATATTAATTTTGAGGTGATTTTATGTATGGCGCAGCATTGCCATATGTTTCTAATCAAATAAAACGATAAAAATAGGTACAAAATGTTGCATATAATTTTAGTCTCAAATTCGCCATTTGATATTTTAAATATTCTATTGATGAAAGAAAACTGCATATCTTAAGAAAAAAAAGCTAAAGATTAAGGCATCCGCTCCGATCTGAATTGTGATGAATTTTTCATTTGTTATCAGAGCGGGGGCGGAGCTTAATTACAAAATCGATATTTCTCTACAAAACTTTACCATTTTAAACAACTTTTAAGCATTTTGTTATTAAAAGAAGAGCGCATGTTAAGAAAAAAAGGGAAAATAAAAGCCCCGCCCATCTGCCTTATCTCAATTATGATGTTTTTTAATCGTCTTGAACCGGGGGCGGAGCCTAATAGTAAAATTCTTATTTTTCTACAAAAAATTACCATCTGAAACATGTTCTTAAATAATCCTGTTGTTCAAAGAAAACTATAACTATTAAGTAAAAACGAAACCCAAAGATTAAGCCCCACCTACATCCACCCCGATCTCAATTGTGATGAATTTTTTATTCATTCTCAGACCGAGGGGCGGAGCATAATTGTAAAATCCATATTCCCCTACAAAAATTTACCGTTTTAGACATGTTTTAAGATTCTTGTTGCGAAAAGAAGACAACGTATATTAAGACAACACAATGCAAAATATAAGCCCCGCCCACCTACCCTATCTCAATTGTAATGATTATTTTTATTCGTCGTGAGTGGGGGGAAGGGCTTAATCCTAAGTAATCGTGTTGTTTAAAGAAAGCTATATGTGTTAAGTAAAAAAGAGAACCAAAGATTAACTCTACCTATATATCTCCCTACAAAAATTTACCTTTTTAAACATGTTTTAAGACTCTTGTTGCGAAAAGAAGACTGGGTATTTATATAAAAAGCAAAATATAGGCCCCGCCCACCCACCCTATCGCAATTGTGATGATTTTTTTATTTGTCGTGAACCAAGGGGGCGGAGCTTAACTGCAAAATACTTATTTCTTTGCAAGACATGTTTTTGTTATTGTGTTATTCAAACAATACTACGTATATTAAGAAAAAAAGCAAAAACCTGTTTTTAATTTCTCGTTGAGAAATACGGATTTTGCAGTTAAGCTCCGCCCCTTTGGCTCACGACAAATAAAAAAATCATCACAATTGAGACAGGGTGGGTGGGCGGGGCGACATTTTTCAATTTTTTCTTAATATCTGTAGACTTATTTCGACAACAAGAAACTTAAAACATGTCAAAAATGGTAAATTTTTGTAGTAATCAACTTAAATTCGCCACTTTTCTTCTACAACAATAAAAAATATAAACCCCGCCCACCCGCTATCTCGGTTGAGATGATTTTTTATTCGTCGTTAGCCGAGAAGGTGGGGCTTCATTGCCATTCCCATTTTTCTCCAAGAAATTACCATGTGAACATTGTTCTTAAATAATCATGTTCTTAAAAAAAACTATAATTTATTAAGTAAAAAGAAACCCAAAGATTAAGCTCCACCTATACCCGCCCCCCTCTTAATTGTGATGAATTTTTCATTCGTTGTCAGACCGAGGGGTGGAGCATTTTTAACATGTTTTAAGAGTCTTGTTGCGAAAAGAAGACTACGTATATTAAGACAAAAATGCAAAATATAAGCCCCGCCCACCCGCCCTGTCTCAGTTGTGATGATTTTTTTTATTCGTCGTGAACCAAGGGGGCGAAGCTTAACTGCAAAATACTTATTTCTTTACAAAACATTAAAAACATGTTTTTGAGTATTCTGTTATTCAAACAATACTACGTATATTAAGACAAAAAGAAAAAACATGTTCTCAATTTCTCGTTGAGAAATAAGGAATTTATAGTTAAGCTCCGCCTTCTTGACTCACGACGAATAAAAAAAATCATCACAATTGAGATAGGGTGGGTGGGTGGGGCTTATATTTTTCCCTTTTTTCTTAATATGTGTAGACTTATTTCAACAACAAGAAACTTGAAACATGTCTGCAATGGTAATTTTTTGTAGTAATCAACTTAAATCCGCCACTTTTCTTCTACAAAAATGAAAAATATAAGCCCCGCCCACCCGCCCTATCTCAATTGTGAAGATTTTTTATTCGGCGTTAGCCGGGGAGTGGGGCTTAATTGCAATTCTCATTTTTCTTCAAGAAAATTACGATGTGAAACATATTCTTAAGTAATCGTGTTGTTCAAAGAAAACTATGTGTTAAGGAAAAAGCATTCGTTGTCAGACCCGAGGGCGAGGCCTAAATGAAAAATGCTTATTTCTCTACAAGAAATTATCATCTGCAACATGTTCTAAAATAATCGTATTGTTCAAAGAAATAGAAATAGAAAAGAAAGCCAAACATGGAGCCCCACCTACGCCCGCCCCGATCTCAATTGTGATGAATTTTTCATTCGTTGTCAGACCTGGAGGTGGAGCATAAATGAAAAAATTCATATTTTCCTACAAAAATTTATCATTATAAACATATTTTACGTCTCTTGTGAAAAGAAGACTACGCATTAAAGAGAAAAAAAAAAACGCAAAATATAAGCCCCGCCCACCCGCCCTAGCTCAATTGTGGTGACTTTTTATTCGTCGTGAGCCGAGAAGGTGGGGCTTCATTGCCATTCTCATTTTTCTCCAAGAAATTACTATGTGAACCTTGTTCTTAAATAATCATGATGTTAAAAAAACTATAATTTATTAAGTAAAAAAGAAACCCAAAGATTAAGCCCCACCTATACACGCCCCCCTCTTAATTGTGATGAATTTTTCATTCGTTGTCAGACCGAGGGGCGGAGCATTTTTGACTTGTTTTAAGAGTCTTCTTGCGAAAAGAAGACTACGTATATTAAGACAAAAAATGCAAAATATAAGCCCCGCCCACCCGCCCTGTCTCAGTTGTGATAATTTTTTTTATTCGTCATGAACCAAGGTGGCGAAGCTTAACTGCAAAATACTTATTTCTTTACAAAACATTAAAAACATGTTTTGAGTATTGTGTTATTCAAACAATACTACGTATATTAAGAGAAAAAGCAAAAACATGTTCTCAATTTCTCTTTGAGAAATAAGGATTTTGCAGTTAAGCTCCGCCCTCTTGACTCACGACGAATAAAAAAAATCATCACAATTGAGGTAGGGTGGGTGGGTGGGGCTTATATTTTTCCCTTTCTTCTTAATATGTGTAGACTTATTTCAACAACAAGAAACTTGAAACATGTCTGCAATGGTAAATTTTTGTAGTAATCAACTTAAATCCGTCACTTTTCTTCTACAAAAATGAAAAATATAAGCCCCGCCCACCCGCCCTATCTCAATTGTGAAGATTTTTTATTCGGCGTTAGCCGGGGAGTGGGGCTTAATTGCAATTCTCATTTTTCTTCAAGAAAATTACGATGTGAAACATATTCTTAAGTAATCGTGTTGTTCAAAGAAAACTATGTGTTAAGGAAAAAGCATTCGTTGTCAGACCCGAGGGCGAGGCCTAAATGAAAAATGCTTATTTCTCTACAAGAAATTATCATCTGCAACATGTTCTAAAATAATCGTATTGTTCAAAGAAATAGAAACAGAAAAGAAAGCCAAAGATGAAGCCCCACCTACGCCCGCCCCGATCTCAATTGTGATGAATTTTTCATTCGTTGTTAGACCTGGAGGTGGAGCATAAATGAAAAAATTCATATTTCCCTACAAAAGTTTACCATTATAAACATATTTTACGTCTCTTGTGAAAAGAAGATTACGTATGAAAGAGAAAAAAAACGCAAAATATAAGCCCCGCCCACCTGCCCTAGCTCAATTGTGGTGACTTTTTATTCGTCGTGAGC